TAGTTTTCGGATCAAGTTGAAACCTTGGGGTATATTTTGGGTATCAAAAGTGAAATCTTTTATCCACCATGTAAAAAATAAAATAGTGTACTAACAATATATTGGTTTATACCGATTCCTAACAAAAAATTAATTCTTATTTTGGTACACTGATGGCGAGATGCAATAGTACTCCAAACATGGAGTCCCTTACCGAAGATTTGCTATTCGACATCCTCATTCGTCTCACCTCTCGTGATATCCATAACTCGGCAAGGCTCGTCTGCCGCAAGTGGGCCCATTTGACCCGCTCTCGCGACTTCATACGCTTGCACCTCCATCGTGCGGCCACTGGGCTCCTCTTGCATATTGTCCCTCACGATTTGATTTTTATCTCCGGTAGTCAAGGCCGGGTGGAGACATCCCGGGCCCTCTACAAATCGGGCCCGCCTATCTTGGGCATCTCTCACGGCCTTGTTTTGGTGAAAGCACCTTTCAATCCCTGTAGTCTCCGCATCATGAATCCCGAGACCACCGAAACCCTCGACCTCCCTCCTCATTTCGGACATTGTACTCTTGGTTCTTGTTTGACGTATGCGGCAGCCTCCATGGCGTACAAAGTGGTGCAGGTGTGCATTAAATCCGTGAGAAACATGAGAGCCTTCAAGTGCTCCATACATTAATGTAACAGCCCAGCATCTTAACCCGTAGTGCGATATTGTCCGCTTTGGGCACGCTCACCCGCACGGTTTTGCCTTTGGGAGACTAACTCACCAAAACGCGTCACACTAGTGAAGGTATCCACAGCCACTTATATGGCATGCTTCGTTCCCCTTCACAACCGATGTGGGATATCTAAACCATCCACCCCCCTTGGGGGCCCAGCGTCCTCGCTGGCACAAGGTTCGGGTACTGGCTCTGATACCAAATGTAACAGCCCAGCATCTTAACCCGTAGTGCGATATTGTTCGCTTTGGGCACGCTCACCCGCACGGTTTTGCCTTTGGGAGACTAACTCACCAAAACGCGTCACACTAGTGAAGGTATCCACAGCCACTTATATGGCATGCTTCGTTCTCCTCAACTACCGATGTGGGACATCTTTTACTAGACTCCACCCCCGCCCCCTTGGAGGGCCCAGCGTCCTCGCTGGCACATCGATCCGGGACTGGCTCTGATACCATTTGTAACACTCCTCCTTACTATCAATTCAGAGTGCGCGATAATTCGCAAAGTCCTTTAAAATAAAACCTTTTTACTTTGCGAAAACTGATTAGAGGTGCTACTTTTAAAAATCATGACTTAACTTAAAAAACCGTTGTTTTAATTTTAATAAAAACGTCCGGTTACTTAAATTATAAACTCCTTAAAAGTTCGTCAAAACCATCAAACATCATCAAAAGTCATCAAAATATAAGCGG